TTTTTTTTTAAAGATTTTATTTATTTATTTGACAGAGAGAGAGACAGCGAGAGAGGGAACACAAGCAGGGGGAGTGGGAGAGGGAGAAGCAAGCTCCCCGCAGAGCAGGGAGCCCGATTTGGGACTCGATCCCAGGACCCCGGGATCACGACCCGAGCCGAAGGCAGTCGCTCAACCAACTGAGCCACCCAGGCGCCCCATCACTGATAAAATTTTGAGAACAACTCTAGCCTCCTCCTCCAGTAACCAAAACCCCCTAATAGTTTCTTTCTCTTTCAACAATTTCTTAGGAATTAAAACTTCTCATGTCATTCAGACGTTGTTCCCGTGACATTATCTGACCTTCAAGCCTGCTACCTTTTTGGACTATGCGGTCAACAACTGTATATTCAGCTCTTGAATTCTAATGTGTAACCTAAGCTTTACTAAGCCTTCATGCAAAACACCTTTAAAAAAAAAAAAAATTTAACTTAATTGTTGAAAATAAGCAAGGCATGGAATAAGCAGCCTTTATACTAAGCTGAGTTTTTAATGTAAACATTAACAATCAAATGTATAAACAAAACTGTGGTAACATAAGCGCAATCTATACAGTTCAATCCAAGAGAGATCTTTTGTTGTGTTCACATCCAAAACTTGATACCTAAATGGATGGAAGTTACACACTATAGTTCAGCTGGACTAGCTGCCAACTGTTGCTAGTGTAAACTGATCACTTAACAAATGAAGTCAAGAGACTTCTTTAGAGAAAGAAACAGACAAGACAGAACAGTGGTGTTGTAACATCAGTTCTCCCTTTTTCTATAATGTGTTCTACTTTCCGGAGGAGACCAGAATGAGGGACAATGAGATAATGATGAAATTTTACAAGATTCTAATGAATTGGGCTTTCTAAACTACTGAAGAAAGTCATAAACTTGTTATTTAAGGGTTCCCACCCTTGAGAGTGATCCCTCGAGGCTCTGGTCCTCCTAAATTGGTACCCTCAGGAACAGAACTGTCAAGTAAGAGGTTTTCGTTCTCAGTTGTCTCTTCTCTAATGTCTTACTAAAGAGAAAAATGTGAAAGAAAATCTAGTGGCAATGTGTTCTACCAATACCCTTAAGGGCGACCAGGCCTGAGACACACTTCTCTTCCTTCTGTACTTGTGTCTTCTCAATACCTTGCTCCTATCTATCTTTCAAGACCCAGTTAGCACCTCGTCACTTCCAAGAAGTGGGCTAGTGTTAATGGAAAGAGTGCTGG